GTTTCTCTCTCGCTTGCTCTCTAAAAAATAAATAAAATCTTAAAAAAAAAAAAAGAATATTATTAGTATGAAGGGATGCCTGTCCAGATTGCCCACAGATCTTAATCTGTCCCTTCCCTTTGTCACTGCCATAAAAAGGCCAGCATAGTGACTCAAATGTGGTGCATCCTCAATGAATAGTTGTTGAATCAGAATTAATCTTAAATTCCATTCAATTTATAGACATTGCCTCTGCCCTTTGGTGATGATTAAAGGTAGATTTGAATATTCAATGATCTGCTAGACATTTCTACTTGAATGTCTAATACAGGGTTATCTAAAGTGTGGCCCCTCAGATTACAGCTGGCCAGGAAATACTTGTTGCTAGTCCACTAGTCCATGAAAAATTTTCACCAACAAAAATTTTCTGCAATAAAAGTACAGAGATTAAAAGCACTTAAAAACTTTAGAGCAATTTGATGGAGTAACTACTTATGTTACATACGAACAAAATTGAAGTTTATATTTTAAATGTCTTTATTTCATTTTCTAGCAACTTATTTGTGCTGTGTATTCTGGAAGTATCAGCCTGTGAGAGAAATGGAAACAAAAGCAAATTAAGTAGCCTCCAGCAGTCTGAGAAGCACTGAGTAGACATCTCAAACACACATTCGAAACCAACTCCTGATTCCCCCCACCAACGTGCTGGTCCTGCAGTTGGCTTCCCCTCCACGGATGGCTGCTCAGGCCAACATCTGTGAGTCATCCTTGACTCCTTTGCTTTCATCTTTCACCCTTTTAGGACATATTTTTAACACTGCAGCCAGAGGGATACACTTTTAAAACATAAGACAAATCATGCCAGTCCTCTGCTTAAAACCCTCCAATGGCTCCCACTTCATGCTACGTGAAAGCCAAAGTCCTCACAATGGTCTACGAATGTGGTCCAGCATAACCTGGTCCCTATGGTTAACCTTGTTTCCTACTAGTCATCTCTGGGGTTCCCACTGCTGCAGACACACTGGCCTCCTTAGGGTTGCTCAAGCAGACCGGGCCCACTCCCGCTGCTGGAATACTTAAAGCAGATAGCTTTCAAGTTTTTGCTAAAATGTTAACTTCTCAGTGAGGTCTGTCTCCATGCTATTTAAAATGGCATCTTCTCAACATTCCTCATTCTCCTTTCTCTGATCTGTTTTTATTTTTTTTTAAAGATTTTATTTATTTATTTGAGAGAGTGTGTGTGCAAGTGAGGGGAGGGGCAGAGGGAGAGGGAGAGAATCTCAAGCAGACTCATGCACTGAGTGTGGAGACCATGGTGGGGGGTATGGGGGAGCGATATCTCATGGCCCTGAGATCAAGACCTAAGCTGAAACCAAGAGTCAAGGGCTTAACGGACGTGCTTCTGAGTTATTTTTTCCCCACAGCATTGATCACCTTCTAACATACTCTATAACTTACTTATTATGGTCATTGACTGTTTTTGTCCACTAAAATATAACTCTGCAAGGGCAGAAATTTTTGTCTTTTTTTACTGCTGATCCCCAATGCCCAAATCTCTGCCTGGCATATAGATGATACACCCTATAATATTCAATAAATGATTTGGAACAACCACTTTGGACAGTAATTCGGAAGTACCTATTAAAACTGAAAATGTACATATCCTACAATCCAGCAATTCTACTCCTGGATATATACCTTAGAGGAACTCTTACATACGTGTATGAGGGAATGCGTCATAGATGTTTACAGCAGAATTTCTTTGTAATGGCAAAAGATAGAAATAACCTAAATATCCCTCAGTAGGAAAATGGATAGTGTTTTGCTTTAGTCAATAAATTACCATAAAGCTTCCAAAATAAACAAACTTGTGTGGATATAGCTCAGAACCAAAACGGTGAGGTAAACAGAGCAATGCCATCATTGTGAACAAAAACATGCACAAATTATTTCTACTTAGTATGGGTACATATGTGAGAAATATCACAAATGAACTACTGCAATGATTTATACCAATTTATGACAGAAGGTTACTTTTGGGGAGGGATGGTTAACTTTATAAAGTTTTATTTGTTTGTAAAATAAAAAGACTGGAAATAAATCAAATGATGTGTAAAATTTGTTGAATTTGGGGACCGTGAGTATTTTTGTGATTTTTTTGTGCTTTTTGGTATTTGAAATTTTCATAAAATTAAAAAATTGTCTTCTAGACTATAAAACCTTTAAAAGCAGGAGCTATGTTTTATTCATATTTCTATCCATCGGACCTAATATTCTTACTAGAATATAGAAGATTGTTGAATATGTATGTGTTGATAAGTAAACATTTTGAAGATTCATTTATTTATTTTAGAGAGAGAGTGAGCATGAGCTGGAGGGGCAGAGAGAGGAACAGAGGGACGAGGAGAGAGAATCCCAAGCAGTTTCCATGCTGAGCACAGAGCCCAACATGGGGCTTGATCTCACAACCCTAAGATCATGACCTGAGCCAAAACCAGGAGTCAGATGCTCAACCAAATGTGCCACCCAGGTGCCCTATAAGTAAACATTTTAATTTAAAGAAAGAGAGAGAAGGAATTAAGGGGGAAAGAAGATAAGTGGTATAGATATAAAGAGAAAGGTGAAAAATATTTGGGGTTGACATATGTGTGACTTAACACTCATGCTACCTGAGACTTTCAGCTTGGCTATGTTACTCTGAAACAGGATTTCTAAGAGAGTAAGAAGATAAAGATGAGAAAAAGCTCTCTTTTATCCATCAGATACAAAGAATGCTATTAGGATTCATTGGTTATTGTGGTAATGTTTCCCAATTCCCAACAGATATTAACCTTTGGGATTCAGGAGAAACGATTTCTGGAATTTTGATTGAGATTGGGTTGAAACTGTAAATGAATTTGGTGAGAATTGATATATTAACAATATTGAGTCTCATAATCTGTGAACATGGTTGCTCTTTTCATTAATTTAGATCTGCCAAAAATAAAAAATTTTTAAAAAGACCAATATTTATAAGCACATAAAGTATTCCAGGCACAGTATTGGGTGCTTTACATGTATACTATTAATTAAAATTTCTCATTCCTTTCATTAGACAGATTAAACACAGAAAGAAATAGGGAGGCGGAAAGGCTCAGTAATTCTGCAGTCAGTAAATGGAATTAAAGGGAATGTAGGCCCCATTTGTCAGACTCAATTTTGTATTCTTCAGTTTACTTAACTCGGTTCCAACGAGGGTTAAGTGTGGGCCATCAGTTATGCCTGTGAACCTCTTCAAAGCTCAGATTGTTCCTGAACAATCAAGCATTTCAAACTCCCACTGTCGTGAGGACTTCACTGTTATGGTAAGGAAATAGTGTTAAATCATTGGCGGCATACAGGCATTAGAGATTAAATTATATTTTCCAAATTACACGAGAATCAAGTGTGCCAATTGCATGCTTTTTAATATCTACCATGTTCACAGCACCTGGGATTCATTTCTTGCCCCAATGCAAGAAAATATATTTCTATTTATAAATTATCCATGCAAACTGGTTTAGGCTTTTATCTCTCTTTTTTTTTTTTTAAGATTTTTATTTCTTTATTTGATAGAGAGATAGCGAGAGTAGGAACACAAGCAGGGGGAGTGGGAGAGGGAGAAGCAGGCTTCCCGCGGAGCAGGGAGCCCGATGCGGGGCTCGATGCGGGGCTCGATGCGGGGCTCGATCCCAGGACCCTGGGATCATGACCTGAGCCGAAGGCAGACGCTCAATGACTGAGCCACCCAGGCGCCCCTGGTTTAGGATTTTAAAAAGTTTTTATAAAAGATCTGACAGCTCTGATGTAATTTGGGGGGAATTACCTTTTATGGATATTCGGTGACCTTTACAAACATCCATGGCCCCCAAAATAATAAAAAAATCAATTAAAACAAAACTGAAGTGGTTGTAATTAAAATTAATCAAAGTTCCTGACCTATTCCTGATAAGAAGTAAGCTTAGGTTTAATTTTTAAAAAGAATTCATGAAGAGAAAGGTTATAATTGAAGAGCTACTCTTAAGGGAAAAAAAAGAGTGGATGACACTATTAAGATGGTAAGGCAGGAAAAAAAAAAGATGGTAAGGCAGAGTTTATTTAGGACAATCCAGATAGTTATAGGAACGCCTGCAATGGGATTTTACCGTGGGGGAGAGAGAGGAGGCTCAACTCATAATACAGCATGGGCAAGTGGAAATAGATAGCCCAGGAGCAGAGTAGGGGTCAGTGAATGGAAAATTACTAAGAGCAAAGAACAAGGTTGTTTTGACTAAACCCACCTAACAGGATTCTTGCTGAAAAGAGCCCAGGGTGATCAGACTTCACCCCGGGGGTGGTGGAGGATAGGAACCTAAATACATATTGAAGATGATCAGATATTGAGGGGTGTATGGGGGGGAGTGTTTTGGTCAAACTGACTTAGGGTTCTTGCTAAAACTGGATTTTACAAGAAAATGCAGAGATGAGCCTAGGAGGTTTAGCAGCATGGCTAATGTTTGGTCAAGCAAAGAATCTTTGTCACTACCTCAAGTATATCCAGTCACATTTCTCCTAAGAGCTTTCCAGGGCTTTCTGTCCCCAGCACCCGGTCTAGAGGAGTCTAGTTAACGGTCTACAGGCAATTCTGCAAAGCCTGAAGGCCTAGAGGAGGTACAAGGCTCGGGCCTGCAAAGTCTTACACTTGATGATTTCCCCTGTAGGCAGACATGAGTACGGACTGCCGCTGGAGAGGACTGAGCACCCCCCGCAGCCAGGCTCCTTCCAGGCTCCGTCCTCGTGTCCACCCCCCACAAGCAAGGGAGAGGCCTGGGCCACGAGGGTTGCCCCTTTGCGGTCGGAAGCGCACAGCCCACGCACTTGCACCGCACAGCGCGTCACCTCGGAGCACCGGAGAAACGCGAGTAGGGCTATGCGGGTTGTTTACGCGAACAGGGAGGGGCGTGAAGGGATGTCCAGAGACGCGGACAGCGCCGGGCTCAATCGGAGGCCTCCTTTGCCCCACCTGGCCGGCTGAAAGACTACCCAGAAAGGGCGTGGAAAGGAGTGGGAGGAAAGGGGAAGCGGGTCACGAGTCAGAGCGGCCGAAGTGGGGAGGATGCCACCGGCGGCAACTCGCGGCCGCCGGGCTCCGGTTGGACGGGGTTGAGCGGAGTCTCAGGCTTGCGGAGCGGCGCGCCGACCTGCCGCGCCCCCTGCAGCTGCGGAGACCCGGCGCCCCCGCCCCGCTGACGCTGCCCCCGAGCCGCAGGTGAGTCGAGCCCGGCGCCGCCCCGAGCATCATGTGTCGTGGGAGCGGCGCCGGCGGCGTGCGGGGAGGGACGGCGATGGGGCGAGCCGTCGTTGACACAAGCGGGCGGATCAGGCCCCCGGACGTCGGCGCCATGGAAGGGACACAGGTGGGAGCCGGGTGCGAGCTGCAGCGGTTCGGCACGGCGCGCGCTCCGCCGCCCGCGCAAGGTCAGTGGCGGCTGGTGGCGGCTGGTGGCGGCCGGGGCTCGGGCGGGGGCCCCGCGGGGTGGGTGGGCGCTCGGGCTGGGGTGGCCCGCACCTCTGCCGCGCAACCCCGCCCGGACCGTCGCCCACCCGGAAGCCTGGGGCAGGGACCCCCAGAGCAGAGAGCCACCTGCGGCAGAGTCTCGCCCTGGAAGGCCCGGGCGGGGGCTCAGAGACGGTCCTGAAGTTGCTCAGCCAGCCTCTCTGGACGCGAGTGGCCTTTATTAGAGGCGGGGGCGGGGAGTCGATGGAAATGGGGGCCAGAGCCAGGGTCCCTGGACTGGGCGAAGGCGGCCTCCAGCCAGGCCCCGCGGTGGAAGTTGCCCGCGGCGCGGAGGCCGGGGAGGGGGCGCGGCGGCCGGCGGGCTCTCGGGAGAGCCGCTGCACCTCCTCCCCGCCCCGGACCGCAGCGCTTCGCGCGGTCGGTCCCGACGCCGGTGAAACGAGGAGGGAGGCAGGGAAGGAAGGAAAGAAAGGAGTTTCGTGTCTGGTGAAGTGAGAAAGCGCTTCTGAAGAAATTAGGTTGTGTTACTTTATCAACTGTGAGGTTTTTCTAAATATACATATTCCCTGGTTTTCTCTAACTTTCTGCAGCTCAGTCCAGTAAAGCCTCTCGTCGCCGTGAATAAGTAACCTGTGTGTGTCAGTCTGTAGATTCTAAGAGCGCGCCTAGTCCCTCGGATGGACTCTCCCGACCCGCGTCTCCGCCTACCGTGCATCCCGCGCACAGCTCCGGGGCTGTGTGAAGGGTGGTTGGCACTCCCTCAGCGGCTAGGGGTCCGGACACTTTGCTGTTTTTAAAGTGCACCCCCCGGACGCCTGGGTGGCTAGTCGGTTAAGCGTCTGCCTTCGGCTCAGGTCATGATCCCGGCGTCCTGGGATCGAGTCCCGCATCGGGCTCCCTGCTCCGCGGGAAGCCTGCTTCTCCCTCTGCCTCTGCAGCTCCCCCTGCTCATGCTCGCTCTCTCTCTGACAAATAAATAAATAAAATCTTTAAAAAAAAAAATACGGTGCACCCTTCCAAGGGCCTCTGTGACTTGGTAAAGCTAAGCGCTTGCAGTGTAGTGGTCAGTCCTTGTGAATGAAATGCCTTGCTTCGGGGACAACTTGATGCCATGTGCTGAATAAATTAATTGTGGTTGGCTCATTTTCTCTTTGTTCCTGTGGGTTACTGTTACACGGCGTGTGTTGTTTGTTTAAAGTTTACTTTTCCCTGTTCAAAATAGAAAGGGCTTAATGTGTCCTCAAATCTGTAATTCACCAACATGCCCTCAAATCTGTAATTCACCAACATGTTTTGTTATTACCAGCTTCATTACTGTTGTTAGTATTCATGTGCCAGTTTTGATTAACATAAAATCACCTTCATTTTACATCCCATAGATAATGTCTCTTTAAACGCTCGTTTTTGAAGAAGGAAATAAAATGTTCTTGAATGAAAATCCTAAGGGATTAATAACTTTTTTTCTCTCCCTTATGTCTTTACCTGAGAGTTTCTGTACTCATACTTTGACAGGGATTTTAAGACATAAGAACCATACCTGAAGGAGTTCTATCATAATTATTTCACTTTGAAGATACTGCATATGCTATTTTTATGCCATTGGAAATACGTTTCATGCTTTACTGACTCAGCACTATCCTTGTTAGTCTTTTCATTAATCAATATTGTAAAAACTTTCCCCATAGCTAGTTTTTATAGCCAATATCTATTACTTGGAGATGTCGGATTTGCTAAGAATGTTTGAATCAGAACCAAATGTGGGATTCTATACTTGAAAAGCAGGGTGATACCTAAACAGCGACTTGCTAGATGTTGTATTACTATAGTTTGATTCCCTCCTACCCCCACCTTGACTTCTGAGTAGAGAAGTCACTGTAAAAATATCACTACAGAGCCAGCCTTTCTAGTCTACATGGAAGCACTCTACTCTCCCATGTGGTTTGGGGTTTCCATAGTATTAATGAATCTGAGTGAAAATCCAAGAGAAGTCCCCACTTCTGGAGTGACATCTTAGTCAGTTTGGAAAAGCTGACTACAAAGACAATAAAACTAGCCCCATCCTTTTCAAAGAGACAAAAGAAATAATAGATCCGATGTACTTTGAAAAGCAAAATGTACTACATAAATATAAGGCCTCCAATAAAAATCAAATACAAGTGATGTGGCTGATTGGGATTTGGACTTAAATTGAGCTTCTGTGTTCCCCTTGGTAGAACAGTTAAGTTTCCTGAGCTTCTGGTTAAAAGTGCAGCTGCCCCTTAAGAATCTTGGTGCCTGTTTAGGAAGCTGCCCTGGCTGCTGGGGCTGCAGGGAGAGTGAAGCTGTTTGCTCAGTGTTGAACCCTATGCAAGGGCTTTATTTGCATTTTTATTTAATCAGAATCATATGAGGATAGGTATTGTTATTACCAATTTGTAGAAGAAAAAACTGAGGCTCAGAGAGGCTGAGTGACTTGCCTAGGGTTACAGAGGTGTCAAGTCATAGAACCAGGATTAGACACCAAACCCGGCCTTAGTTCTCTACATTACACCTTGATACCTTTAACTCAGTGGTTTTAAACTTATTTTGATAATCTGATAAAACTTTATCACTGCAGGGAAAGTGGCCATATTTTCATGTATATAAAATTTTGCTTCTAATTCCAGGGTCCAACCTACCTTCTAAAACCCTTCCATAAGCTTTCAGGTCACCCTGCTCTAACTATATCTGTTACTGAATGAGGCAGAGAGTGTATACATTACTGTCTATATGTGCATATAATCCTTACTAATAGAAGCAGCCCATGAATTCAGTAACTTTCAACTGGGTGAAAATTTACTTAGTAACTGAAACAAAAAGAAACATGACATGTTACATTCTAGTTGATTCTGTAAACACCTAAAGTGCAGTTTAGAACAATGGTGCTTACTTGAAACCAGATCTTTTGTTTGGGCTTCTTCAACTATCCTACTATCGCGAAGAATATGGATTTGTGCCTTTAGTTACAGAATGGAAACAGTCTTTTTTTCCCTCTCCCCAGAGATGGCAAATCCTGTGGTTGTTATAAGTAGCTGCAGCTCTCAGGAAGAGGAAAATCGCTGCACTTTTAACCAGCATACCTCGCCCTCTGAGGAGCTTCTGTTAGAAGACCAGATGAGGCGAAAACTCAAATTTTTTTTCATGAATCCCTGTGAGAAGTTCTGGGCTCGAGGCAGAAAACCATGGAAGCTTGCCATACAAATTCTAAAAATTGCGATGGTGACGATACAGGTAAGCATCTCAAATCATGAGTTTAATGAGGCCTCTTTTAGTAACAGGAGGAGTAAGGACAGTGGTTTTTTCTAACTTTGAACTGTATGTATGATGGAGAACGATAAATAAGGAAACATACAATCTTAAACTCCTCTCCCTTCAATATTTGTGAAAGAAGACTGGGTTTTTTTCCCCCCCTTACTTTTTTTCCTTCTCATCTTTCATTAAATTACAATTTTAGTCACATAATGGAATCAGTTTTTAGGAAAAGAAAATTTTAATATTGGGTTTGTAATAGAGAAGCTGAAGGTTTCTAAATCAGCTGTGAAAACTAGCTGTTGCCCTACCAGAGGATTATTTTCCTTCCTAGTTTCCTAGGAATTTCTCTCTCTTCAGAAACTTCAAGGGTTTTCTGTTAAGGCAAGTGCTTGGATTCTCATAGCCCTGCAGTGGAAAAATGTGGAGGTAGCTAAAAAGGAGTGGCATAGGTAGTGAAATACGGGACTTCATTTTAGGAGAGTTTGAATCTCATGTCCTTGACTTTGTTGACATTTCTTGGGGAAATCATATTTTGCAATTCTTTATATATAGTGATTATGATTTATTCTTGTGAAGATATATTTTCCTACTGGTGAGAGTAATTATCCCCATTTCACAGATGAGAATATTGAGGCTTAGTGAGGTAAAATAATCTGTCATAGTCAGGAAACTAGAAGAGTGGAGCTGAGATTCAACTCAGATTTTATTCTAAGACCTGTGTTCTTAATTACTCCTAAATGTTTTAGGGAGCTCATTTAACCATCCTCTGTTTCCTAGGGTGGTTAAGAGGAAAAGTGACCAATGATTTAAGATGTTAAGCCTGTTAGTAATAAGCATATAAAAGGCATTCTTAAAAGGAACTGAGGGGTTGTTTTGTTTTGTTTTGTTTAAGATTTTATTTTTAAGTAATCTCTGTACTCAATGTGGGATGAGAACTCACAACCCTCAGCTCTTTGGCTGAGCCAGCCAGGCTCCATCTGAGGATTTTTCTTTTCTTCTTCTTCTTCTTTTTTAGATTTATTTATTTATTTATTTATTTATTTGAGAGAGATTGGGGTGGGGGGTGAAGAGGAGCAGAAAGAGAGAGAGAGAATCTTAAGCAGACTCACCGCCAAGCACGGAGCCCAACAGAGGCCTCGATCCCACGACCCTAAGATCATGACCTGAGCTGAAACCAAGAGTCTATCGCTCAACCAAGTGAGCCACCCAGGTCTCCCAGAGGGTTTTTCTTAATTGTGATGTTTCCTTAACCTGTATTAGAGCAACCAAGCAAATATTACATGAAGACTCTGTAACCAAGCAAAACAGGGTGCCTGGGTGACAGATCCCCTCTTCTCAGGGGAAAGTAGTTCATTTGGAGATTTTGTGTCTGCAGCGGCAAAAGAAAGACAGGTCTGATGATAGGCACCCTACTAAGTGTTCCCTTTCCCCAAGGCCTGGTACAGTCTCTGAGTTACAGGGATTTTCTCTCTGCCATGGGTACACCCTTGAGGGCAGGGACTGTTGTTTCTGCATTGCCTCCTTGGGACCCAGCTCGGTGCTGGCATGTGGGGGGTACTCATTTGTAATTGGTCTTTAGGAATTCTCTGGAGGCTTTTCAGTCATCTGCTTCATTATATGTAAAATCCCTGGAATATCAAGCTGTCTTCTTCTTGGGATTTAAATAGGACACTTGGCTTAAACAGGCTCTTTGGAAATAAAAGTCCAGTTAGATGGAGAGCACTGGCATGTGTGGGGTGCAGGGCATACATCACAAGGAGAGGTGAGAAAAGGAAAGATTTGCATGCTCAATTTTTCCCCAGTAAGACCCTGTACTACTTTGTGTAGCTTGATAGGGTGGCTAGAGCTTGGATTATTTCTGTTAGACCTGGGTTCAGATTTTGACTATACACTTGGTAGTGATGTGTTGAAAAAATTATTTAACTTCTCTGGGCCTTTATGTACCCATCTCTAAAATGGGTATGTTAGGAACTGTACTGTGGGATTAGTATGCAGGAAGTTCCTGGTATGGCACATAGGTGCTCAGTGCTGTTTCCCTTTTCCATATAAAATACACCCTGTTTCACTGTGAGATCCAAGTCAGAGTGTATGTTCTAAACTTACAGTGTGTGTGTGCGTCTATGTGTGTGTGTGAGAGAGAGTGAGGGCAAGAGAGAGAGAGAGAGAGAAGGTGAGAGCAAGAGAGAAAGAGAAAGAGCAAGAGAGCAAGAGATTGAGATGGTTTCAGAGGGAAGAGAAGGTGAAAGAGACACCTGGAGTGAAGTTTCAGGTATGATTGAAAGAGCTTACGTTAAAATGACAGCAGCAAAGGTAAACAACTTTTTGTGCGTGAATAACTGAGTTTCATGTAAAACTCTGGGGTCAGTCCTGCATGAATAGTAAGGATATATTATGTTAATATTCTTTAATTTAGAGATCAGTTGAAAGGATGTTTTTTATGTTTGGTCTTATTGTCACAGTTTTGATAATTAAACTGACAATTAACTATAGTCATTTGATTGGAGGCTTAGACTTATTTAAGGAACTTCTTATATTGCCTTGTACACCTGCTTCAAAGCCTTCTTGATGTCCTGCACAATTCATTTTAAAATCTACTTGCCATTTAAGCCCCTGCACCATCTGCCTCCAGTTTTTCTGCCGACATTTTTTTCTTGCTGTTCCTTCAGTTGGATTGTGCTGGGATCTTCAGTGTTTCCGCCGCGCCCCCCCCCCCCCCCCACCGCCCGCCAAAGTACTAAGTTGCACTCTACCTTATAAGCCTTTTTCCTGTGCTCCTCAAATGTCCCCACCCAAGTTATGCACATGCTTCCAGGAGTTTCTATCATTATTTCATTCTTAAGGAAACCTTCCCATTTCTTTAGCCAGTGTGACCTTGCTTCTCTAAACTCCTAAAGGAGGACTTCTCTGAAAGTGGTGGTGGGGGCAATGATGTAAGTAAGATCATACATGAAAATGTGCAAAGCCACTTTCTTTTCATTTTAAAACTAGAAGCTCACTTTATCTTTAAGGCCAGATTAATTTACAGCTACCAAAAGTTTAATATATATTGAATATATTCAGGACAAATTAGACTTGAATAGATAAATTGATTGTTATATGGAGACCTTTTATTCCCTTGCTTTTTCAACCCCTTTTTTTCCCTTCTTTTAAGCTGGTCTTTTTTGGGCTAAGTAACCAGATGGTCGTAGCTTTCAAGGAAGAGAACACTATAGCATTCAAACACCTCTTCTTAAAAGGATATATGGACCGAATGGATGACACATACGCAGTGTACACACAAAGTGATGTATACGATCAGATCACCTTTGCAGTGAACCAGGTAAATCCAAGTATGTGTGTTCTTACTTGGGAGAAAGAACAGACTGGGAAATTGTTAGCAATGTACATAATAGAAGCTGACATTCCACTGTAGAAGGGTGAACATTTTTGTGATGATATGTATAAATGATACGTATAAAACCATTTTAAAATTATTTTTTCAAAAAATTACCATCGAACTTCCACGAAACACGAAATTGAGAAAAGGTTTGGTTTAGTAACAAAGAGACAGAAACTTTGGGCGCCTGGGTGGCTCAGTTGGTTAAGCAACTGCCTTCGGCTCAGGTCATGATCCTGGAGTCCTGGGATCGAGTCCCGCATCGGGCTCCCTGCTCAGCAAGGAGCCTGCTTCTCCCTCTGACCCTGCCCCCTCTCATGTACTCTCTCTCATTCTCACTCTCTCAAATGAATAAATAAATTAAAAAAAAAAAAAGAGAGAGACAGAAACTTTAAAGAATTAATTAAAAGAATCAGAGGGCGCCTGGGTGGCTCAGTTGATTAGGTGACTGCCTTCGGCTCAGGTCATGATCCCGGAGTCCCAGGATCGAGACCCGCATCGGGCTCTCTGCTCAGCAGGAAGCCTGCTTCTCCCTCTCCCGCTCCCCATTTGTGTTCCCTCTCTCGCTGTGTCTTTCTCTGTCAAATAAATAAATAAAATCTTAAAAAAAAAAAAAAGAATCAGAGCTAAGGGTTGGCATGAGTACCTCAGAGATTTAAAATTATTAACCATGGCCCTGGTTGTAAGTAGTCATTAAGTCTTCAGAGTTTATACGTTCAGGGGCCCTTAACAAATAATGAGAATATTAACTTTGCAGAGCATATATAGCAACTAAGACCTGAAAGCTCGTTTAAAAAATAAGTAAGGCCTTTATGTCATACATGACAATGCTTTTATTGTAACATTGATTAACTGCCCCCCGAAAGTAAAAATTACTATAGTGCAATTATGGTTCTTAATTATCTAGAGACAATCTATGTACAGTGAGGTAGTAAAGTGCTAGGATGACATATGTGTTTATGGCATCAAGGCTTTCTGTTAACCCTTGGACTGTGTAAATTGGTCAGAAATCTACAGTGATGGAAGTAAGCTGCGTAAGTTACTAAACAGAATTATGGATCTGTGTGAAAAATTCCTCTGTCAAAGCAGAGCTGCAGAGGCAAGTGAGGACAGATGCCCAGTCTGATTAAAGCCCTCAGAGGCCACAGCCACTTGGGGGCCCCATCGGTCAGTCCCATAGGTCACCTGCCTTCCAGCCCTAGTCCCACACACCCCATTCCTGTCCTAGAGTCCTCTGACTCAAGCTCCAGGGCTTCCCTTAGTTGGACACAGTCCTACCACTTGCCCCTGACCTAGCTCTTGCACAGACCTCCACGACGAGTCTTATTAGGACAGCAAGGAAGTTTGGCCAGAGCCTATCTTATAATGTTAGCAGGTTACCTGCAGCCCTGCACCTTGGATCTTCTATGTTTCAAAATCTTACAGAGTTCAAGACACACAAGTTTCTGTGGTCAGGAGGCTCAGATCTTTAGGTAATTCCTGGGAGGATGGCTTCACAAATAGTGGGCGCTCAGAGGGCTACAGGATCCCATACTTGTATGACTCTAGCTCATGGCCCCTGCTTGTCTTTCCAGCTCTATTTCCCATCACACACCATTGCAGGCACACTGGTCTGTTTGGGACCTCACCACACTCAAGATCTTTTACCTTTGTTTTCATTTAAGGGACTGTTTACCTCTTACACCCTCCCACCCCCAATATAAAACTACCAGTTTGGCTCAGAGTAGCTTTAGCAAGGCTTAATCCACTTACTTCCTTGAATAGAGAACAAAAACCTCAAAACCGAGTATCTCCACTGTTATACTATTTGCTCCCTACACGTAGGACATAATGCTACTTAACAACTTATGCAGCTTCTTTTTTTTTTTTTTTAAGATTTTATTTATTTATTTGACAGAGAGAGACAGCGAGAGAGGGAACACAAGCAGGGGGAGTGGGAGAGGGAGAAGCAGGCTTCCTGCGGAGCAGGGAGCCCGATTCGGGGCTGGATCCCAGGACCCTGGGATCATGACCTGAGCCCAAGGCAGACGCTTAATGACCAGCCACCCAGGCGCCCCTGCAGCTTCTTTTTATTACCGTAGATTTCCAGCCCCTTTCCCCAGTCCCGGTGCTAACAGAGTTTAGTGCTGTAATTACATACCCTGTCCTAGCGGTTTACCATCTCACTGTGAATAGATTAGCTCTAGTAATGAAGAGCAACTATTACATTTTAATAATTTTTTGACCTTATCATAAATTTGACAAATATCTGAGTACCTACTCTATGCCTACTACTGTTTTAAGTGCTGGGGTTAGAGCAGTGGCCTTGATAAATTCCTTGCCCTGTGGAATTTATATTCTAATGGAGGAGATGGATTTTAACAAGTTTAACCAAAATCATTTGGTTTCAGGTAGTGATGAGTGCTAAGAAGTTAACACTTAAGTTAACATAAGAGCATTAACAGTTGCCTCAGGGTGGTCAAAAAAGGCCTCTCTGAGGACTTGCAGTCTAGGAAAGAATATTCCAGGCTGAAGGAGTAGCAACACAGCGAAGGCTCTCAAAGCCAGAAAACATTTAGTATATTTGAAGAATGAAGGAGGTGGGTATGGCTGGGCTAGGTCTGGTCTCTCAGGCCTTTATAGGCCCTGGAAAGAAGCTTTGAAACATTCTGAGAGAGACTGGAATCCATCGGAGGGCTTTCAGTAGGGGAGAGACTATAATATACATTAGCAAAGGTTAATATTTATTCCCTCAAATATTTAGTATCTGTTGTGTATCAGATACTGTTTTTTTTTAAAGATTTATTTATTTATTTGAGAGAGAGAGAGAGAGTGAGGGGGGAGGGGCAGAGGGAGAGGTAGACACAGACTCCCCACTGAACAGGGAGCCCGACGCAGGGCTCAATCCCAGGACCCCTAGATCATGATCTGAGCCAAAATTAAGAGTCAGATACTCAACCAACTGAGTCACACAGGTACCCCTCAGATATTGTTTTTGGTGCATGGATACTACAGTGAACAAATAGACAAAGTTGAGGAAGTCATATTCTAAAAGGGAGAGATAAGCATTAAGTAAATAAATAAGGATATCATTTGTCAGTTGGTTATAAGTATACAAAAGTATATAAAACAACAACAACAGGCAGAGTGAATGAATGGAATGAATGGAGGTGGTCAGGAGAGGCCTCTCTGATAAATGACAGGTGGGCAGGGCAGACCAGAGTATGGGAAGGCAGTCTGTAGCTGGTTCAGGGAGGAGCCCTTCAGGGAGAAGGGAGGGCATGAACAGAGCACAGAATAGATTTGTGTTTTGGGTATCGCTGTCCTAAGGGCATTACATGCATTAATTCACTTATTCCTGTAACAGTCCCCTTAGTTCTATATGGGGACTGGGCTGTGGTGAGAGGCAGATGGCCAGCAGGAAGACCACTGAAGAGATTCAGTTTGGCAGGGGGAGAGATGAGGTGGTATGGACAAGGGTGAGAGCATTGAAGGCGATGAGAGGCAGCAGATTTGGGATATAATCTGATAGTAATGCATGGCTTTCTGAGGGACCAGAAGTGAAGTATGAGAGAAAGAGGCTAAAGGACCATTTCTAAGTTGTGGCTTCTACGCGAAGCTGAGTGGCTTATGGAGTCACTGATTGAGAAGGGCATTTTCACGGAAGGAGTTGGTTTTTCTATTTGCACATTTATGTTTGAGATACGTCTTAGACACCAGAGGTGTCATGAGGGCAGACTGCTACCCATGTATGGAATTCAATGGAGAGGTCAGGAGATATAAATTTGGAAGTCATCAGCATATAGATAGTGTTTCAACATGGGACTGGTTGAGATCACTTATGGAGAGAATGCAGCTGAAGAAATCAAGGACTGAATCCAAGGATACTCTGAGACGTAGAGGTTGGCAAGAGCAGAATTCAGCAAAGGAGACTGAGGTGGAGAGCCTGTGTCTCAGAAGTCAAGTGAAGGAAGTATTCTGTGAAAGGGAAAGCACTCAGCTGCATCAAACACCGTCGGCAGACTAAGTTAAATGAGAACTGAGTACCATGTATCAGATCTGGTAAAATGCTGCTCTTGGTGGCCTGGACGAGGCCCAGTTCAGCATTCATCCCATAGGCTCAGATTATAAATGATTTATTTCATTTAATTTAGGCATGTTTCACACGCACTGTTTAGTAGGATTATTTAGCTCTGTGTCCATCCCCCTAAATTGTTAATTCCAGGGGACGGACACCATATCACTCTCTTTGTATCACTAATTGTGCCAAACAGCATTGTTCATAGTAAGCTCTGAAGCACGTTTTTCTTCTACAGAAATCCATTCAGAGTTTATTTATTTTTTTAAGATTTTATTTATCTGACAGAGAGAGACACAGCGAGAGAGGGAACACAAGCAGGGGGAGTGGGAGAGGGAGAAGCAGGCCTCCTGCTGAGCAGGGAGCCCGATGCGGGGCTCGATCCCAGGACCCTGGGATCATGACCTGAGCCGAAGGCAGCGCTTAACGACTGAGCCACCCAGGCGCCCTCATTCAGAGTTTAAATTGATGATTATTCCAAAGTACCATGAGATCCTCATTTGTAAAATTACATTTTATTTTATTTATAGGACTCCCTAGGACGAGGGAATATTGCCGTGAAAGTGACTAACCTGTATTCTTGCAGTGATAAAGATGCAACAGTTTTGTTTGTTTTTTGAAAAAGTTTTGCAAGTTAGCTTGGAACAATTGTATCCCCCTTCCTATATTACAACAGCAAAGCAGAACTCTGACCTTAATAAGAAATGGTTCAGAGATAAAGTTTGTATTCACACTGAATGCGAAAAATCAATTCCTGCGCTTAGTTCTTTAAAGAAGGAAGGATCACAGAGTTGATGTGCTGTAAGTCTTTAATTTTGTAGACAAGGAACCAGAGGCTCAGGAAATTTGTGACTTGCCCACACTCACAGAAATGAGACTGGAGCCCAGAACTCTAATTTGGGAGTGCTTTCTGAAGGCTACTGTCCTGGTGCACAGTAGCATGTCATGTGCTCTGCATATCGACGTGAACGTGAACGGCAGCGTCTCCACCCAGAAAGCAGGTTAGAACCTGCCCGTTTCATAGGCAGGGTGGGTAGGCAATCATGTCTTCATTTTTGTCTGGCTGGTGTTCCCATTCTGTTTCTCTTTTCGGTTTGAAGTACTTGCAGCTCCGCAACACGTCGGTTGGGAATCATGCTTACGAGAACAAGGGCATGGAGCAGTCTGCTCTGGCCATCTGTCAGCACTTCTACAGGCAAGGAAGCATCTATCCTGGAAATGATACCTTTGACATTGATCCAGAAATCGAAACTGGTGAGGTTCTTCAAGAAACTGGAGCTTCCATTTTTCTTTTAACTCCTTGATTTATCCTTAAAATCAGTAATTTCATCTCTGAAGATGTTCATTTGGTCTGTGCTATTAGGTCATAGTAAGAATATTTGTGGGAGTTATTATGTGTCAGGTACTGTCCCAAGCCCTTTACTGTAACTCATGATTTTTAAAAACAACAGCAAGAACAAACCAATAAGGCAAGATATATTATTTTTTTTAAAGATTTTATTTATTTATTTGAGAGAGAGAGAATGAGGGACAGAGAGCATGAGAGGGAGGAGGGTCAGAGGGAGAAGCAGACTCCCCGCTGAGCAGGGAGCCCGATGCGGGACTCGAACCCGGGACTCCAGGATCATGACCTGAGCCAAAGGCAGTCGCCTAACCAACTGAGCCACCCAGGCGCCCCAAGAGTCTGATGCTTAAACTCACCCAGGTGCCCCAAGGCAAGATATATTATTATCCTCAATTTAGAGAAGACTAAAGTATGGCTCAGAGAGTTCAGTGATATGGTCCAGATGGAGCTGGTAAGAGGTAGTGCTGAAATTTGATCCAGGCTATCTGTGCTCTGAGCTACATTCTTAGCCTCTATATTCCAATTCCTCTTGCATTGGATAAGCCAGTTATATAAACTTATACTATCCTTATAAAACATTGTACTTGCAAAGTCATCATGTATATAAAACTCCCTCCCCTCAACTGCACTTCTCTACTTAGTATCTTTGATGGTGGGTTTTAGGGAGGAACCAGAACCAGGAATTAGAATAGAATGGCTTATTATTATTATTATTTTATTTTTATTTATTTATTTTTTTAAGTAGGCTCCATGCCCAGAGTGGAGCCCAGTGCAGGGCTTGAACTCACAACCCTGAGATCAAGATCTGAGCTGAAATCAAGGGTTGGTCACTTAACCAACTAAACCACCCAGGTGCCCTTGAGTGGCTTATTCTTATTAGCAAAGTTCTATTTACAATGTGTACCTAAAATACTAACTTAAGTCTTTGAGTTAAAAATTAAGTATCCGGATACTTTTAACAATAGTCACTGGGACGGTTTTTGGAGAGGGATAGTCAAGGATTACAGTACAGATTAGTGAAATCTCCTAAAATGCTGTCTTCCTTTTTTTTTTTTAATTTTAAAATAAAATAGTATTTTAAAAAATAGATCCTTTAAATTTAGAAAATTTTATCTTAGGTACTGTAAGTGCTTCACACTTATGCTTAGGATACAAAAAAGGGAGAAGGGATGCAAAGTTTAGGCTCACAAAGGCAGGAAGGAAGAGAACATTCTATAGGAGACTAATGAGACAGAGTTCAGGTTCAGGTCTCCTACCCTTCACTCACTCCAGAAATGTAGCCACTTGCATCTTAAAAACAAATGACTCATTGTAACCAAGCAATATTGACCTTTAGCTTTTTAATCTTAATTCAGAAGAACGGTAGAATCTGAATATCTAGTCTTAAATATATTATCCTTCCAAGATGCAGTTCACTTATTTATTTTAGGCAATATACATAATGTTTTGTTCCTTTCTATGGCAGAATGTTTCTTCGTAGAGCCAGACGAACCTTTTCACATCGGAACAGTGGAAGGAAATAAATTCAACTTAACGCTGGACTTTCATAGGTGAGGGAAGCAGTTGGGAGTGTACCTTGTGTGTCTGGGTGTGTATGTTTTCACTGCACTAAAGCCTCCTCTGTTTCCTAGACTCCTAACTGTGGAGCTGCAGTTTAAACTGAAGGCCATTAATCTGCAGACCATTCGTCATCACGAGCTCCCTGACTGTTACGACTTTACTCTGACTGTAAGCGTGGGCTGGGCTGAATTTTGTCCCTGGCTGAAGAAAAATTGTTTGATTTCGTTACATGTTTCATCTACCCCTATTAAAGCGTGGTCAGATATATAGGATGTTTCCACTTGAATGTGCCCAGGGGAAACATTGGTACAGCTGGCTCTGTTTTGTTACGGTAACTTGTTTACTTGTTAATTATCTATCCTCTGTACCTCAGTGGAAGTCCTGTGAGGGCGGGGACCTTGCCTCCAGTATTCGGACCAGTGCCTGGCACAGGGGAGGTGTTCAATACAAAAGTAGCAGAGAGCTTGTAGGTCCTCTGTAGTTGGCTCATACCAGTCTGTGGCTCTCTGCTTACGGTCATTGCCAGGGGTTCTGGCTGCTGAGGCTCCTCACTGTAGATGTGTGCAGCCTTTGGGTTATTGCTCACAGTGCCTTTCTTGGGCCACCTCCGGATGCTCTGGTTCCTCCCCCTTCAGCCCACCCTGCCACATCTCTGTTCTCTACATTCCAGTTGCAAAAGGAGCTATTAATGCTCTCTAGATAGCACAAGGTGCCTCCCATGTGAGCTCATCAGCCCGTGAGGCTCAGGGTCAGTAATCCAGTGCTGTGTGGGGCATACGTGGAACAGCATTTGATACAACTCGCCTTCACACAGTCCAGATTGCTGTTACTTCAGCAGCAGTTTGTACCAGAGCTCTGTCCTTGATATTCAACTAATGGGCTATGAGAAATCAAGTTTTCAGAGGTTGAGGTTAAAAAAATTTCCAAATATAGTGTAATTAAGAATTATGCGTATTATTTAACAGGAAAAAGCACTAATACTATATAAGACTATTTTGTGTTAGGCTACAAATTTTGATCCTAATATTAACTGGGAAGTTACGAATTTTCAATATTACTTGACTTTTTTTTTAAAAATTGAGCTATTAGGGGCACCTGGGTGACTCAGTCGTTAAGCGTCTGCCTTTGGCTCAGGTCATGATCCCAGGGTCCTGGGATCGAGCCCCGCATTGGGCTCCCTGCTCGGTGGGAAGCCTGCTTCTCCCTCTCCCACTCCCCCTGCTTGTGTTCCCTCTCTCACTGTGTCTCTCTCTGTCAAATAAATAAATAAAATCTTAAAAAAAAAATAAAAAAAAATAAAAAATTGAGCTATTATCCAGTCTTGTCTCTTCTCCCTCCTTTCCCTTACCACCCCCTGCACCACTCTCGAACTGAGAAGTGGCACTTTTCAGAAGTTTTATAATCCTCAAGGCTCAGCTCAACTGACACCGTCTTCCTGGACCCTCTTTGTGATGCTTCAGTTAGGAACACATTCTGTGCTCTGAACTCCAGGGTTTTATTTTTGGTTTTGTTTTTATATTTTAATGGGCTCACCCACCTTCTCTTTTGTTTTAGGATTTTCTAGGCTTTTGTCATCAACTCTGCTAGACTGAAAGCTGCTTGAAGGCAGGGATCATTTTATTAATCTTTGCATCCCTCAAAGAACATAGTAGGTGACTCAAATATTTGTGGAATGAATAAATGAAACATTTGTAAACTGCAGACCCTTTCCCATGACTCAGTACAGTGGTGAGAGCAAACTGGCCCGTTAGCCACAGGTGGATGTTCTGTTTTTCCTGTTACTGCAGATTTGACCCAACTATGCCTGTGCCTTGTGGATTTAACGGTGTGTCTCACAGAACTGTAGTGGAACTGATGCCCTACAGGGTAGTTTATTTTTTTATTTTTTATTTTTTTAAAATATTTTATTTATTTATTTGACAGACAGAGAGAGAGAGAGAGAGAGAGCCCAAGCAGAGGGAGTAACAGGCAGAGGGAAAGAGAGAAGCAGGCTCCCGGCCAAGCAGGGAGCCCGATGTGGGGCTCGATCCCAGGACCCTGGGATCATGACCTGAGCTGAAGGCAGACGCCCAACCAACTGAGCCACCCAGGCGCCCCAACAGGCTAGTTTAATAATAAACACAATTAGTGCAACTTTATGGTTATAAGTAAACATGAACTGGGGCCATATATGCCTGATTTAAAATGCAAGGGTTTTGGAATCAGGCAAGCCTAGATTTGAATTCCAGCTCACCAGTTAGTAGCTTGTAACTTTAGGTAAAATACTTAATTGGTTTGAATTCCAGTTTTCTCATTTATAAAACAGAATTAATGCCCATCTACCTAACAAAGTTGTTGTCAAGACACCTGTCTATCTAATATACTTCATGTATATGAGATATAAAGCAGATATTTGACTCATGCAACAACTGTTTATGAAACCTTCCTGTGTGTGCCTATCATTTGGATTTATAATGTAAAATAGTACATTAACATTCATCCATAGCAATTTAATATATTCTTGCATCATGTATTTTGAAGCTCTTTATTAGGTGTACAAACATCTAGGATTCTTGTGTTCACTTGAGGAACTGACTCTTACATCATTAAGAAATGGCACTTTTTACCCCAATATATATCCTTTGCTCTAAAATCTACTTTGTTTGATCTTAATATAACCACTCCAGCTTTTATTTATTTATTTATTTTTAAGATTTTATTTATTTATTTGACAGAGAGAGAGAGAGACAATGAGAGAGGGAACACAAGCAGGGGGAGTGGGAGAGGGAGAAGATCGCAGGGACCCTGGGATCGGGACCTGAGCCGAAGTCAAACGCTTAACGACTGAGCCACCCAGGCGCCTCTCCAGCTTTCTTTTAATTAGTGTTAGTATGGTATATCTTTTTCCATCCTTTTGATATTAACCTATTTGTATCTCATGTTTAAAGTAGGTTTCTTATTAGGCAGCATAGAGTTAAGTCTTGTTTTTTTACCCAACCTCATAATCTGTACCTTTTAATTGGGGTGCTTAGACCATTTAAATGACATGTGATTATTAATATAGTTTCTCTCTTTTCCTGCCTGAATCGAGTATTTTTTGGATACTATTTTAGCTCATTTGTTAGCTTATTAGCTATAACTTTTTATTGTATTATTTTTAGGGTTTACAGTACACATATTTAAATTATTATCACCTGCCTTCAAGTGATATTACACGGCTGCATGTAGAGCACAGGAATCTTGTAACAATCTATTTCTGTGTCTCCTACCTTGGCTTTTATGTTGTTGTTGTCACACAGTTTACTTCCAGATGTGTTACAAACTATATAATGCACTGTTAGCAGTTTTTATTTAAACAATTATCTTTTAAAGCAATTTAAATAATAAGAAAAAAAGTATATTGGCCCATGAAGTAACCATTTCCAGCACGCTTCATTCTTTAGTATAGCTCTAGGCTTTCATCTGGGATCGTTTTCCTTCCATCTGAAGGGCTTCCTTTAACATTTTTTTTTTTAAGATTATTTATTTATTTATTTATTTGAGAGAGAGAATGAGATAGAGAGAGAGAGCATGAGAGGGGGGAGGGTCAGAGAGAGAGGCAGACTCCCTGATGAGCAGGGAGCCCGATGTGGGACTCGATCCAGGGACTCGATCCAGGGACTCCGGGATCATGACCTGAGCCGAAGGCAGTCGCTTAACCAACTGAGCCACCCAGGCGCCCTCCTTTAACATTTTTTATAGTGCAGGTCTGCTGAGAGACTTTTATATGCCTAAAAAAGTATTTATTCCTTCTTCATTTTTATTTTATTTTTTAAGTAAAGATTTTATTTATCCATTTGAGAGAGAGACAGAGCACAAGCAGGGGGAGTGGCAGGCAGAGGGAGAGGGAGAAGCAGGCTCCCCATGGAGCAAGGAGCCCGGCGCAGTGCTCAATCCCAGGATCCTGGGATCATGACCCAAGCTGGAGGCAGATGCCCAACCGACTGAGCCACCCAGGTGCCCCTCCATCTTCATTTTTTTTTTTTAAAGATTTTATTTATTTGACAGAGAGAGACACAGCGAGAGAGGGAACACAAGCAGGGGGAGTGGGAGAAGGAGAAGCAGGCTCCCTGTGGAGCAGGGAGCCTGATGCGGGGCTTGATCCTAGGACCCCGGGATCATGACCTGAGCCGAAGGCAGATGCTTAACGACTGAGCCACCCAGGTGCCCCCCTCCATCTTCATTTTTAAAGATGGTTTCACTGGGTATAGAGTTCTCGGTTGACTGTTTCTCCCCCAGGACTTTAAAGATGTTGTTGCTCTTCTAGCTTGCATTGCTCTGATGAGAAATGTGCTGTGGTCTTCATCTTTGTTCCTCTGCAGGGGATGTATTCCCTCCTCCCTCTTGCTGCTTTTCAATTGTTCTCTTTATCTCTTTGATTATGATATGCCTTAGTGTAATTTTCTTCAAGTTTCTTGTGTTTAAGGTTTATTAAGCATTGATTCTGTGGGTTTATAATTTCCATTATATTTGACATTTATTAAACGTCACTTCTTCAAATAGTTTTGTCTCTTCTCCTTCCTCCCCCTTCAGGATTCTAATTCCATGTATATTTGGTCACTTGAAGTTGTCTCATAGCTCGCTAATGTTTTGTGTTTTTGTTTTATTTTCCAATCTTTCTTCTCTGTGTTTCATTTTGGAAGTTTCTATTGCTCTACCTTCGAATTCACTAATCTTTTTTCTGTGCTATCTAATCTGTTCTTAATCCTATCCATTATTTTTTCTTCTTTGTTTAAAGAATTCAACTTCTTCAAGCCCGACTGAGATGTGATTGACATTGAGCCAAAGTATATTTACTCAGCAGATACTTAGTGAGCACCTACTATTTATAAGGCCCGGACACCGTCTGTGTGGGAAAAGCATGGGTTCTCCTCGGCAAAGATTTCTGACTCATTCAAATAATATGAAGCATCTTTCCTTTGTGAGGCCATGGACTGGGTCCTCCAGTGGATGTGGAGATGTGCAGACACTGACAACACTTTTAGCTGCTTGTCAAGGAAAGAAGCTTACAGTCCAACATGAGGAGAAACAAAGTGACCAGACTCACTAAATTTCTTTGAAATCTTATATCTGCAGGGATGTCTAGTTACCCCTCATGAAGAAGCTTCAATAAAATTCATTTAAATGGCAGATGTTTTTTTTCTTTTTGAGAGAGAGAGAGAAAGAGCACAAGCAGGGGGAGCAGCTGAGGGAGAGGGAGAAGCAGACTCCCTGCTGAGTGGGGAGCCCGATGTGAGTATTGATCCCAGGACCCTAGGATCATGACCTGAGCTGAAGGCAGACACCTTGACTGATGGAGCCACCCAGGCACCCCTAAAGAGCAGACTTTTGAAAGAATGTTTTCTCTTTAAGACTTGAGCGAGGAGGCACTAAAAGCAAACCAAACAAAACCACGGCTGATTTCCGTGCTTTCCCCGTCCCTGCATGGGGCAAGTGGAGAGAGCTAGAAAGGGAAGACAGGATTATGGAAGGTGTTCTGGTGTGGCTTTGTCCTGCTTGGTGCCTGGTGTCTGAAATGGTGATCCTTGCAGCAAAACATGGCTGTCGACTCCCTGTTACCACATCCTTTTTTATACATATGGTACTAGAGTGACTAAGAAATCTAGGCCCAGAATGAAAATCAGAAAAGCTCCACCTGAAGTGTTTCAGGCCTGAGATAATTAACCTCTGTGTTAGTAAGAATTGCCACAGCATTAACAAACTATCCCCAGCTGAGTCCCGGGGAGGGGGGGAAGGCACACTTGTACCAGCTCTTGTTCATATCAAGAGGGCATCTAGAGATACTTAGAGTGGGAAGGAGAGAGATCTCTTGTTTTATAAATTGTCCAGGGCTGGGGCGCCTGGGTGGCTCAGTCGTTAAGCGACTGCCTTCAGCTCAGGTCATGATCCTGGAGTCCTGGGATCGAGTCCCGCATCGGGCTCCCCGCTGAGCCGGGAGCCTGCTTCTCCCTCTGACCCTCTCCCCCGCTCATGCTGTTTCTCTCTCTCTCTCAAATAAATAAATAAATAAAATCATTTAAAAAAAAATTGTCCAGGGCTGGAATACTGTCCTAGAAATATAGGGTTTTAGAGACTAAAAGGTCTCGACAGAAGATCTTGTCCAACTTTCTCATTTCACATAGAAATAAAGGGCGCTTCCCAAAGTTAAACAGAGCTAGCATCAACTCGGGGAGGAGAGTCTAGAATGAGAATCTGGGTGGATATCCTGTTACCTTGGAAGATCTGTTTCCTAATTAATGCCTAGAGACATCTTGGCTTCAAGAACTATCGGTGTGTTTTGACCCTTTTCCTGTTCTTCACAGATAACACTTGACAATAAGGCCCATAGTGGAAGAATTAAGATAAGTTTAGATAATGACATTTCCATCAGAGAATGTAAAGACTGGCATGTATCCGGATCAAGTAAGTGGTGAATTTTACTAGTTTTCAAAATGGTTATTAAATAAAATAAAAGGGTTATTAAATTACTGGGATGTGTGGAGCATCAAATGAAAGAATCAGAGCATTCCCAAGTTCCTAATTCTCTGCAAATAGATCAACTCATTGTGGGTGTCTGATGTTCCAGGCAACGCATAAGTTATTAGTAATTGAAATGACTTTTGCTGACCTCTACGTGTGCCCTCACTAGCCCAGTTCCTACCAAAAAATGCACATGATCCCCCAGGAAAAATAATCACATATGCCCAAACTAATATTTTTTGAGTGTTTACTGCATAAGGACTTCCACCTACAATTTAGTAGTTTTAAAATATCCTTGAGATAGGCAGCATCCCTATTTACACAAAGAAACTAAGGCTTAGAAGTGAATCTTGGTGCCTGTGATCATACAGCCATGGAGAGGTCAGGTAGGATTGGACCCTGAAGCATCCCGCACGTTATATTTATATTCAGGGATGAAGAAAGGGTACATTCTTAGAAATATGGACATAAATTCAGGTATAGACTAAGTATGATTGAGAATTTGGGGGCTGAACTAGAGAAAATTGACTGGAAAAGAATTGATCTTTCTCATTTTTTAGGCCCTTTGGTATGCTGTGCTGGATTAGGTCAGAGGTTCTTAGATTCTGGTGAGCCTAAGAATCACCCCAGGTCCCTGCTTAGATGCAGGTTCCCCAGCTCCCTGCAAGGCAGTCAGCAGGTCTGGGGTGAGGCCTAGGAACGTGCAGGTCATCCTTATTCATGCCATACTTGGAAAATCATTGCTTTAGGGCTTCCTACTGGTTGATTCACACAGTTCAGAAGTGGTAATGAGATATTAAGGATAAATGAAATTTCTTCATTCTAGCGTTCTTTTCATTATGAGGTAACTTCAAATATTTAAGGCTTGTGAATCACAAATTTTATTTTGTCATCTGTAAACACTACTTCTCCACACACTTTGGAATAGAGAAAATGAGAGCATATGAAAGTACCTGGCACGCAGGCTTTCTCTCAAATGTTTGTTTCTTAGTTTTTAGGTTTTTCTAAAGTAGATGCAGACATTTTGGTAACAATTAGATGTCCCTTGGCTAATATTAATAGGATGCTTCATTACAGAACTTTGAACTACAGAACTATAGTGTTAAGTGCTTGTCTTTTTATCAGTGGGGAGCAGTCTACCTTGTCAAATAAAGACAGGCTCTGTAGCACAGCATATGAGGGCTGAGACCTCTGCTCACCTCTCTTCACCTGACTCCACTCATGCTGGCTGACTCTGTGCTTGCAGTTTTCCAGAATCTCTGCGTGGGTGGCTCTGTCTTATCACCCAGGTCTCACCTGAGACCTGCTGCCCCTTACTGTGCCGCATAAACGAGCCTCTTCTCCCCATGCCCCCACACCAGTCTCTCTCATTTCGAACAGTGGTTCTTGAACTTCTCTGCCAGCTGAGAGAGCTTGTGAAAATGCCGTTTCTGATTCAGTGGGTCTAGGGTAGGGCTGGAAGGTGTGCATGTCCACCAGTTCCCAAGGGATGCCAAGAACCACTCATACGCAGTGACAGATGCCGGACACAGACTGCAAAGGTTTGAATCCTGACTCTGCCATGGACTGGCTATGTAGCCTTGGGCAAGTTTCTGTGACCTCCTTGTGCTGCATTTTCTCACCTGCCAAGTGGGGATAATCACAGCCCCCTGGTTGGGGTTGCTGTGAGGATCAAATGAGTTAATACGTATAAAGTGCTCAGGACTGTGTGTGGCATAGCAATACCTGTTAGCTATTATGCTCATTTTCTTCATATCACTTACTCCTGTCTGCAAGTATTTTGTTCATTTACTTGTTTACTTCCCTGTGTGTCACACTGAGTAGAATAGAAATTCCCCAAGTCGGGGGCCCATCTTGGTCACCACTTGTATGCTCAGCATCTAGAGAAACACCTGACACATAGTGGGTTCTTAACAAGTGTTTTACATCCAGATAGTATATTTTAATAGGATGTGCAGGAAGGCTAACTGTATTAAGAACAAAAGACCACAGGCTGATAATTAAAGATCTGTTATTGATGGCTGTAGTAATTTTTAAAAGAAGGACTTTTAACTTTTTTAAATACTCATGTGAAGGACACTTACCAGGGCCTTTTCTCTCTGTTGTCTTTGCAGAAAGAATGTCTGAATGTTCTAAATTATTCTAAAAAGCAGTGTAATGGGTTCAGATAAAATTTGAAAATGCTTCTGAAGGATGCAAAAAGACCTGAATCAGTGGAAAGGCACATCATATTCTTTTGGACAAGAGATTCTACATTACATATATTCCAGTTCTCCCTAAATTAATTTATACATTTAATTTATAAATTTTAATTTAAATTATAAATCCCCCCCCCAAAATTACCAGTAGGATTTTTACTGGAATTTAACAGTCTGACTCTAAAGAATATATGGAAAAATAAACAAGCAAGAATAGCCAACAAAAGTTCCAAAAAAGAGTAATGAGAAGTGTTTGCCTTAGGCATTAAAATACACTCAAACATCAAAAGGGTAAGAGATGGTTCTTGAATACATACAGTTAATTTGGAACTGATAAAGATGGCATTTCAAATCACTGAGAATAAGATTTGCTCTTTTGATTGGCAAAAACAAAAGATTATTAATTTCCAATGGTGGACAAGATGTGGAGGTATGTGTAAGTATGTAAACTGGCGTGATCTTTTTGGAGGGCAATTTCTTAGGATTTCTTTTTAGAACTATGTATATACCCTACCCCAACAATTCCATCTCTAGATATTCATTTGCCTAAAGAATCACTTGCACCTGTGCACAGAGAGGACAGATTACAATCAGAGTGTCCTCATAAATCTTATACATCTATCCTGTGGTATGCAATGCAGCAGTTAAGCAGGTAACACTTTTTCCTTCCAGTTCAGAAAAACACTCACTACATGATGATCTTTGATGCCTTTGTTATTCTGACAAGCTTGGCCTCACTAATCCTGTGCCTTCGATCTGTGATTAGAGGACTTCAGCTTCAGCAGGTAGGGCTTGCTGCTTTCTAGGAATGCTACGGACACTGTGATCAACAGAGAAATTCATGGTGCCTCCCCTCTTTTCCCTAAAGGAATTTGTTGGTTTTTTCCTCATCCATTATAAGAAGGAAGTTTCTGTTTCTGATCGAATGGAATTCGTCAACGGATGGTACATTATGATTATTATTAGTGACGTATTGACAGTTATTGGATCAATTCTGAAAATGGAAATTCAAGCGAAGGTAACTTTTTTCCTATTTATGCCATTATCAGTATCAGATTTGCACTAATATTTTTCCAGAATGTGAACATTGGCAGAGTAAACAATTTCTTTCAAACATTGTGTTGAGTAAACTTAAAATCAATAGCAGTAAGTTTCTTAAATCTCGTCAGGAAATCTCTCAGGCAGAGCTCTCCAAAGGTGATACACAAGCCTCTGTGTCAGAATCATTTGGGGATGTCATCTTGACCTATCAGCAGATTTTAACACTGCAAGCACTCCCTCTTTGCTGATGCACTTCTTCACTGGGCTATCACTTACCTGGTTTCCATCCTAAATCACAAGCTGGTCTTCTGACATCCTTTGCTGGATCCTTCTTATCTCTCTAACTGACTAAAGTGACAATGCCTGAAGGTGCAGTGCTTGCACATGTGCTCTTTTCTGCCATTGTCTTGGTGATCTCACCCTGTCCCGTGGCTTTAAATAGTAACTCTCTGCCAATGATTTCAAAGTCTGTATCTCCAGCTTGGAACTCTTCTCTGAACTCTAGTCTCAAATATCCAACTGTCGATTTCGCATTTTCATTTGGATGTCTACTTGGTCTCTCAAACTTAACATACCTAAAACAGAACTGCCCAGTCCAAACCTGCTTCTCCTTTCTGACTTCAGTTAATGGCAACTCTTCTCAGTTGCTCAAGACGAAAGCCAAAGATGCATCCTTGACTCTTCTCTTTCACTAATCCTCTCTCCCCTCCATCTAACCCAAGAGGAAATGCTATCCGTCTACCTTCAAAAACCACCTCATCGCCTCCACCATGACCAGCCTGGTCCCAGCCACCATCAGCTCTCACCTATATTATTGCAATAGACCTCTCACTCTTCTGACAGTCTGCTCTTAACCATAGCAACCCAAATGGGATCATATCACTCCTGTTCAGAGCTTTCCAATCTCCCCAGCCTATCAGACTAAAATGCAAAGTTGTTAAATTACCCACGAGGCCCTAAACTCCCTACCCCCTTATCTCTGTGACTCCATACTCTCCCCCATTGCTCACTCCCTCCAGCTTGACTCTCTATCTTGCCAGGCATCCTCCTGCTGTGGGGCCTTTGCACATGCTTGTCTTTGTGCCTGGAACACTCCTCTCCTAGATTTTTGCTTGGCTTGCTCCCTCACTGCCCTCAGGTCTTTGTTCAAATACCACCTTCTTAGTGAGACCTTCCTGATCACCCCACTTAAAATGCAACCTGGATAGCCATTCTTTCTCCCCTCCCCTGAATTTTCTCCTCAGCACTTACCATCAGTACTGAGGATTTTGTTAATTTATTTCTGTTCTCTCTCCCCCATACACACTAGAAAGCAAGCTTCATGAGGGAAGGACATTTTGTCTCTTTGTTCATTTCTTTGTTCTTAGCACCTAGAATAGTGCCTGATTCATATCAACCCCCAAAATATTTTTTTTGCCCAAATGAATTTCTGCTAAATAATCTGTTTTTTCCCCCCACACTGTTTTAGAGTCTAACAAGTTATGATGTCTGTAGCATACTTCTTGGGACTTCCACCATGCTTGTGTGGCTTGGAGTCATTCGGTACCTCGGCTTCTTTCAGAAGTACAATGTAAGGATTCCATGGATCTCCACGCTGCTGGTATTTCTATCTTTCTGAGTTAGTGCACTGCTTTGGCTGAGGGACGAGTGGATTCTAATGGCCTCTCTTCCTTTCCCAGCTCCTTATTCTGACCCTGCAGGCAGCGCTGCCCAATGTCATCAGGTTCTGTTGCTGTGCTGCTATGATTTACTTAGGCTATTGCTTCTGTGGATGGATCGTGCTGGGCCCGTACCATGATAAGGTACCAATAAACAACTCTTTCCTGTTACCATTAAGCTCCTAAAATAGTGCCAGTGGCTCATTATCCTTTTAAAATGGGCTCCTTCCATTTTGTGACTCAGCCTGAAAACGTTGAAGGTAGAATATATCTAGTATCATGTTTATAAACTGGCACGGTGTGACCAACTTGAGAGAATGATTGATTCACTCAACTACTTCACCTCCTTTTGTGGAATATATCAGATAATTACATCTCTTTTTTTTTTTTTTTAACCACCTATGAGGTCAAGATTAGTGGGTTTGACTCATCAATATATATTAGAGTAAGCTATTTAGGCAAGACTTTTGGAAGTGTGACTTTATTAAAAAGATAGTATGGGGACAAACTTGAAGAAATATTTGAAAATTTTGTTACCAGAGTTATTGTCTTGATTATAATGCCATGACCCTAAGTGGAATGAGCTTTAAGATAAGAAGTATGAGCATGCACGGTTAGGACTTGGGTATCTCTACAGAAGTGTTTCTAGGATCTCTTTCTATGTAGGTAAAGGGGACGGTAAGACTCGAGTCAGAAAAGCACTGAGAGTGCAGACCAGCCCCTTCTTCAGTTCAGGCTCTCCCATTAAGGGGAGCATCAAGAAGGAGCTGCTTATTCCCAGGCATTATACAAGTTGTGTATTCACACAGCAAATACTTGTAGTTTTGTCAGATTAACTACATAGTTTGCAGGAGGAACTTGGGATATCTGGTCCCATTATTTTTAATATGCTGTCATGAACAAAATCTCCACTGGGAAGGAACATGGAATAATGTGAACTTTTCTCTTTTCTTTTTCCAGTTCCGTTCTCTGAACGTGGTCTCTGAGTGCCTTTTCTCTCTGATAAACGGAGATGATATGTTTGCCACGTTTGCAAAAATGCAACGAAAAAGTTACTTGGTCTGGCTATTTAGCAGAATTTACCTCTACTCATTCATCAGCCTCTTTATATATATGATTTTAAGTCTTTTCATTGCACTGATCACTGATACATATGAAACAATTAAGGTAGGTTCATTAAGAGCCGTAAGTAGCAACATTTTTCCAGAACTTCTAGAATGGCAGTAAAATATGGTACCTAAGAGAGAAGAGAACTGATAGAATGTCAGTTTTTTCAGGGTAGAAAAGACTTCAATTTTAGATACTGAGCCACAGAAATGAAGAATTAGAATTTGTAGAATGTTGAAAGTTTTATCTCTAAGTAAGCTTTTTCCAACAAGCTTTCTAAACTTTTATTAGAATTATAAAGATCCTGACTCAGTCAGGAAAGCATGTGACTCTTGATCTCAGGGTCATGAGTTCAAGCCCACATTGGGTATAGAGATTATTTAAATAAAAAAAAAAAAGACTTCTAAAAATCAGTAGGCTTTGATTGAGCAAAACATATGGCGTTTCAAAATTTTATGGGGAATTTTTAAAATCCAATTTTCATAAAGAAAAATTGACCTCTTAGTTTGGAGTGTGCTGTGACTGAACCCATACTCTTTACAAGGCCCTGCCTGGGACCATCCCAGAGGCCTGGTCTCCAGAAGAATGAAGAGATTGATATATCAAATACTAGCCATGTATGCTTTATACATGTCAGAAATATGATTTGAAAAGCTGTTATTTATATTGTCACTCACATGGGATATTTTCAAAATCAGTCTGAGCCCTTTGAAATAATGGAAAGGCAGGGTAAATATCCATATATATTTAAATTTCTAATAACTTTATACTATTAAGTATACCATTGACATAGACACTTCCACTTGGGGACTTTCTGCATATGAAAGGGGTAATGAAACATGATGTCATACAAATATAGTCCCAGGGATTAAGCAAAGGTTAGCAGGAGTTAATGGGTTATGAGTTGACAATTATGAGTAACTTGCTTATGAAGCCTGGGCCATGATTTCAGTTTTACTGAATCAGATTTCAAGAACTGGCTATCCTCAATACTTGCTTGGCAGATGTGTGCTTAGAGTCACCAAGGCCGCTGGGAAAGAGTGTAGTTGTACTTATCCAAATCCCTCCCCACTGTGCTCTAAAAATTCACTGCCTTTAGCTTTGCATGCAGAGAACTATATGTTATTTAAGGGTGATATCCAAGGTCTCAAAGAGTAGTAATATGAGTTGACAACTCTTGATACAAGTCTGAGACTCACAGTTTAGATGTTTACCTCTTTCCATGATCTCAGAGCACCTGTCAGGTAGGCAAGTGATGCCTGATCCTATCTGGTCAGGGCACGTTCTCGAGATCTTAGATCCAAAACTGATGTTAATACAAGGCCCTTAAATAAACCTGTCTGTCTGAAAGGGAGACTCCAAAAGGGTGTGCAGGCTGGACTCTCCCTGGAAAGACAGCTCAGACTCAGATTCAACATGCCCATTTTGGGTTGAACTAGACCCACAAAAGAGCCTATGAGGACACTGCAGAATTCTAGACTCGCTTTTCCTTAGCTAGACTTAAGAATGGCTCTAAAGGCTATATCTACCTGGAAATACTTGGAAGTGACTGAACTATCCCTCTAGAAAGATCCCCCTCCCTGGACAAATGATCCATTTTGAAATTGGAATAAAGCTGTTTTCAAGGTACTTATTCATGAGAGTTTTGTTTTTTTTTTTTATTCTTCTGTGTAGCATTACCAACAAGATGGCTTTCCAGAGACTGAACTTCGTACATTTATATCAGAATGCAAAGATTTACCCAGTTCTGGAAAATACAGATTAAAAGACGACTCGCCAGTATCGATATTCTGCTGTTGTAAAAAGTAGCTATCAGGCTAATCTGTGCCCTGGAGGGAAATATAATGTGTAGCTGAGTTGGGAAACTATATGGATATTTTAAGATCAGGTGTCGTATGTTTAAAGACTATTACTTTGAGCAAACTGATAGCTATAATTCATCAAGAACTATTTATATTTTTAAAAGCAGTATTTAATGTCTTTTGCAGCTTTATGTTGGGTTTATTTATTTTAAACTAACTTTGATGAGAGAAGCTATTGAATTCTTGTTATTTCTTGTTTATTTTGCCATAGCTTTAGAATGTGTTCTCCATCCCCCTCTTTAGCTCTTAGCTTCCAGCTCTTCTGACTGGGCTGATTGTATCATCAGTGGAGAATAACGCCTGGTCTGACTTAACACAACTCACTAACCCTGGTCTTAACCACTCTCTGGGGTACATCCCTGAGAGAGAGGGTTTGTGGTTACTGTATATCAATAATCATTGCATTTTAAAATCTTCTCTTAAAGGGCAGAATAAGAAAGAGACAACTGTCACCAGCTAACAGTCTAAATTTTGGTTCTGAAGGACAACTGTTATATGATGCTGCTTTTAGTTCTGTAAAGAATCAGGTTTTTTTATTATTCATGTATAAGTTTTCTCTCCTTCAGTGTTAAAGTATGTAGTTGAAAGAGTATCCTATACATATATAGAAATTAAAGTGCAGGGCGCCTGGGTGGCTCAGTTGGTTAAGCGACTGCCTTCGGCTCAGGTCATGATCCTGGAGTCCCGGGATCGAGTCCCGGATCTGGCTCCCTGCTTGGCGGGGAGTCTGCTTCTCCCTCTGACCCTCCTCCCTCTCATGCTCTCTGTCTCTCATTCTCTCTCTCTCAAATAAATAAATAAAATCTTAAAAAAAAAAATTAAAGTGCATACCAAATGCATATTCAATCCTGCAAGGATTAGTTTAGTGCTTGCATGGCCTTGCGCAAACTGTGTGATGTACTCTGCCCTTCACAGGCACATTCAGTCTCATGGAAGAGAGTGTTTGTTTTAGGGTCAAGAACTGTGGTTTCAGGTTTCAGGGGGAGAGGTTCTAAAACTCACATTAAACATATTTTGAAAAACAATTATGCTTAAAACGTAAAAATAAGTGGGAAATGTATGCCTTAAATAGACACAGAAACAAAGTCTCCACTCTTTGGATACTGCTGATTGGAATTTCAGGGATTTTTACAATGTGTATCTTTGTTTTGAGTGTTATTTATTCAAGTAGAAATGAATTCAATGATGTGCAATAAAGGTTTTCTCAAAGCAGCTCTTTTTTTTTTTTTTTTTGTAAAGGAAACCTATTTGTTAATTTGTAATTTTGTTTTAAGGGTTAAATGAATATAGCCTTGAGATTCTGAAGTCTTACTATTTAACATACTGACAATCCCAATAACACTCCAGGTGTTGAAATGTGAGGTTTTACAATGAGTATAAGCTATTCTTGCAGAACTTACGGCTTTTAAAAAATGGAAAATCTAAGTCTCTGGATCCCCTGGTGTTTCATTTGCACACTGAGATTTGAGATACTTGGAGTTCCCCATTGCAACTATTTCTCCCTCTACAGTGTTTGATAAGAATTTACTTACTGTTTATTTTTAAAATAATACCTTTATAAAAACTAAACAATACCTTTTTACCTATCAATAATGTATGTATCACCAATTACAGCTGTTTCTGTACATATCTCTCTTCTCCACTTTGTGAAACTAAGGAAACTTCTCCAGATCAGGAAAGCAATTCAAGGGCAGTAACTGTTAATTATGTCTCTGTCAGTGCAGCAGTGTGGTGAGAATAAAGACCTGAATAGAAATCTTGGACCTACTACAAATTGTGTGGATGACCTCAGGGCAGTAACTTAAACCTCTCTGAACCCATTTTCTTAATTTCAAAAGGGGATGACAGTACACAGAGTGCTGAGTGTTCAGTGAGATAACGTGTAAATCAAGCTTCATACCTAGTGGGCACTCAGGGTTACTCCTGGCCCATTGAAGCGCACAGCCCTTGCAGATGGTAAATGTTCTTAATGAATGCACTGTTAACGATGACTTTTCTTTTTAACCACCCACTCATGGGTTATTCAGTAAAAATACTGAAGTTTTAGAAAACACCCATAATGAGTAGTTGGCTGATACAAAAGGAAGTTATCCCAGTTTACAGTCCCCTTCTGAAGGGATTGTTGTCCCTAGTGGAGTCCTAGCATTTTGAGGTTAATAAGGTAGTTCTTTGTGGTGGTTTTTCTTTGAATTAAAGAGGCTTAAAAATTCCTTAGTGTAGGGGTGCCTGGGTGGCTCAGCCGGTTAAGCGTCTGCCTTCGGCTCAGGTCATGATCCCAGGGTCCTGGGATCGAGTCCCGCATCGGGCTCCCTGCTCCTTGGGAGCCTGCTTCTCCCTCTGCTTCTCTCTCTCTGTCTCTCATGAATAAATAAATAAAATCTTAAAAAAAAAAAATTCCTTAGTGTAAAAACTGTGTGTATACATATACTATATATATGATATGTAATGTATGTGTACATATTTACACAATATCTATAAGCATAATATGTCTTACTTTCTATATACTTCCCCCAACACTTTCCAGTCAAGCCACAGTCTGTCTTTTTCACGGAGTCCACATCCTCTCCAAAAGAACACCACTGTACCGTTTCCTCTCCTCTTCTAAAAAGGAACCTAACCAAACCACCCTTGCGCCCACCTGTGGGGACGGTACTACGCAAACGGGATCTTCCAAGCCTGTCCGCACCCAGTGGGCACCTCTGATGAAAGGGACTCTAAAATAAGGCATTTTTGCCTTAAAAGCGACTTTCAAAAGAGGGTCAATTATGTGTATCTATTTACATCATTCTGTCCAATTACGTCTACCTGCAGACGCATATTAAAATAATTACCTGGCAGAATAGTCTTTGCCCTAGCTAACCCCAGAAACCTTTTAAACACTTGCTGATGCAGATCGCCCGGAACTCAGCACTTCGCTGCTACCGCTACCACCGGGAAAGAAGGGTTAGGGTTCCCTGGAAAAGAGGCTGTCGGCCGGGTCTAAACTGCCAAGTCAACATCACCCGCAGCTGAACATGACACTGGGGCATGTGCCCGAGACCCTCATCCCTAAGATTCATGCCTGGTTTCCAGCAGGCCGCTTGCCCTCCGTTTCGTGCTCCGGGAGGGAGGAGCCGCGGCAGCTGCAAGCGGGAGCGCGGGCTTAGCCACCCCGCCGCTGGGGTCCTGCAAGTCTGCGCCCGCCCTCCGTCCCGCCCACGGTCACGCGCACACGCGCTCCCCGCGCAGGGGCTCCGCTCCAGCTTGCCCACGCGAGCGCAAGGCGATTCGTTTCTCTTTTCCTCGTGCGCGCGTAGCTCTTAACATCTCCGAAACATGAGCTTTGTCAGTTTTGTGATCGTACGCTTCGGAATACATACGCGGTCCAATGAATGGACTTAATCCGAATGAACTTGCCAGTGTACGTAAAGTCCTAGAAGACAGGGCCATCTCTTTCTTATCCCGGCGTCCACAGTACCCAGCCCTCGGCTTGGCACTGAGTGTGTCCCGAACGCATCAAAATAGAAATGACTATTTCTACAGTCATGAATGGTGCAGAGACCCGGAGCAAAGGAAGGCAGGAGCCTCGAAGGGCAGGGAGTGCGCACCCCGCCGCCGGGGGGCAGTGTGGAGGGCGCGCGGGCCGCAGCGGCGCTCCACCGCCCGGTTCCCTTTAGCATATGTGCTGCCGAAGCGAGCACCCGCCCGGTTCCCTTTAGACGGCGCTTCTCCTCAGCCCGACCTCCGGGCAGACACCCAGGACGCCGAGCCGGCCGGCCGCAGCTCCCGACACCACCGGGCACCAGAGGGCAGGGGCCTCGGGCCGGCACCTCGGGGCCGAGGCAGGTGCAGCCGTCCCACCCTCGGCCTCCTCCTCCTGACTCGCGGGGGCCGCACCATGCCTCCCGGCGTGGAGGCACTGGACCTGCCGGCGTGGAACGGAACCTCAGGCCGGTCCTGGGGGCCGCGCGGCAGGTCAGTACCCCCGAGGCGCCCTGGCCGCCAGCCCCCCTGCATTCCACGGTCCCTCCCCGGGGACCCCACCGGTCCTCCCCGACCCCTCCCCGGGCTGCTTTCCTCCTGGGGTCTTCTGGCTCCCGCACCTCCGCGCCATCTCCCACCGCCCCCGCCGGCCTCCGCTTCGCTGCCTCCCGCCCCCGGGGCTCCGAGAGGCCCGCGGGCTTACACGTGGAAAAAGTGCCCCAGGGCCCAAGCTGAGGAGCTCTCCGCCAGCCCCGCCGTCTGCCCTGCCCCGGCGGGAGGCGACGCGGCGGAGGTGGTGGCTCGGGAGGCGGGAACGCCCGGCCACGCGCCCCTGGGCTCCCGGCGCGCACTTCAGCCCTGCGGTCCCGCCACCCCCCGCGCCTCGCCGTGCCCACCCCCGGGCCCGGGTCTGCGCGTCCCGGGCGGCTGCAGGAAGGGTAAGAGAAGGGAGCGTGCCTGGAGGGGCTCCGACTTTAGGGGAGGCGTGCCCGGGAAGGCCGAGATGCGTGTGCGCTGAGCGGTTTTTCCTGCTCGGAAACTCGAACGAAAGCTATGGAAAGTTTTGCAGGCGGAGGCATGGCCCCGCAGCCTTATCGGTTTGCCCAGGCCTGGAAGCCGGAGAGAGGATCAGGGGTTTTCAGGCTAACCGTCAGGTGAGGCGCCTGAGCTGTCTCTTGGAGGATGTCAGATTCTGGAGGAATTCTCATCAAGCGGACGGCTTTACTGTTCTAGACTAGAGCTTCCTTGCTGCCTTGGGAGTGCTTGTATTAACTGCTTGCAGTTGGTTAAATAAGGCTAGGCTTTGCCTTCCGGAACAAACAGGCCTTTTCCTCAGGTGGGAGGGTCACAGTGTGGTTCCTCTGCCTTGATGAAAAGGCGTACAGTTCAGCCGCATGATGCTGCCAAGGGGCCCCACCTCCGTGGTCAGAGCTGCAACCACCCAGCTGCGCCGCTGAGCCCGGAGCGGGGTGTGTGTGTGTGTGGGGGGGGAGTACAAACAGGCCTTGGCTCCCCCTCCTCTGCTCACAAAACAAATATAGAGGTGGGGCGTTAAATTTTCTTAAAATAGTGTAGAGACTCTCCTGCTTTTCCTGCGTGGCATTCACAGGATCATAAACGAACTTAATGCTAGCAAGGAAAGCCAGAATTCAGAAGGAGAATTTACTTGATCTCTGGTGTCTGTCCAGATAAGTATTTACCTAATTCCAAGCAAGCGTGGCATATACTTTTTTAGACTTTTGAAAGGCCAGTTTTTGTTGTTTTGTTTTGTTTTGTTTTTTGGCCAGTTTTGAATTAGAAGACATAACTTTGGTACAACTTTTTTGACAACCGGATACTTGTGAATGTTACAACAAAATGACCATCTCTCTTAAGACTAGATGTCTAGGGCGCCTGGGTGGCTCAGTTGGTTAAGCGACTGCCTTCGGCTCAGGTCATGATCCTGGAGTCCCGGGATCGAGTCCCGCATCGAGTCCCGCATCGAGTCCCGCATCGAGTCCCGCATCGAGTCCCGCATCGAGTCCCGCATCGGGCTCCCGGCTCGGCGGGGAGCCTGCTTCTCCCTCTGACCCTATCCCCTCTCATGCTGTTTCTCTCTCTCTCTCTCTCTCTCTCTCTCTCTCAAATAAATAAGTAAATAAAATCTTTATAAAAAAAAGACTAGATGTCTATTTTTAATGGGGCAGATGGGCAGAAATTATACATTTCTTCCATCTGCCTTAGCTCTAAAAGTCTGTCTGGAAAGGTGGAGAGAAAATGGACTCTGGCTTTATTTATTGTGTTCTGCTTGGACTGATAAACAGGCTTGTGCTTACGGTGGGTGTGGTCTATAATCTTTTTCTTTTAATCTTTATGCCAGTATTTTTCTTAGCCTATCTCCTTAAGGGCTTAACCATTTGCCTTTCCGTGAGTATCTCCAGAGGCTCCCATTCTTACAGTATGGGACACATACTCAGCGGTGAAGCTTTTATGAGGATTCAGGTTTGACATATATATATGTGTGTGGGTCTGGTTGTGCAGTGCCAGTGGGAAAGAGGATTGTATCATTGTAAACTGAGGATGGAAGAAGGGGTCATTGAGAGAGAGGTGGGAGAAGTTGTCTAGACATCAGGATAGGAATTCTGATGTTTTATGTGGAAGGGACCAGCTAGCTTGTTCTCCGCAGAGCTGGGATGTTGGCTTCACACTTTCAGGAACTGCTCACCACCTCTGTGATGTGCTGACCAAACCGCCCAAGTTTGGGGGAATCCGGGAGCTTCTTCCTTTTGAGTCAGCAGTCTCAAGATTTTAGCTCATCTTCCTCTTCATACTTTGAGTCAAACTCCCATTACCGTAAACTTGGCCTTCTCCTGTAGCAAACCTTCCCTAAACCAGGTTCTGTGGCCTGGACCCTTTAAAAAACACACACGTCCCACTCTTCGCCTGACTGTTCTCATGCAGAGGTCAACCTAATGGTGCCAATTTTATTTAATTTCCTGCACTTAAACAGTAAATCCTGATGAAGTGTTTGAGGAGGCCATGTTTTTTTCTCTCAAAAAAACATATCAAAAGTGTTGTTTTTTAACAACAGAATAATAAATATAAAATCTCTTAATGAAGCAAGGAGGAAGAGTAGGGAGACAAATTTCGAACAGAATGACAGAGAATAGAGAACTGAAAGTCAGGAATGATCGTATTCACAAGCTGAGCTCTTCAGGCTCGGTCTCTATTAGTGAAGTGAAACCCAGGATAAGGCAGTCCTCAAAACTTAGTGGGAAAACAGGTGGCTTCTTGTGGCTACAACTTTCAAAGTAAAATCAGTGGCCAAAAGAAACCCTTTTGGCCAGGAAAGTTAGAAGTGGGATTTTCAAAAAAAAAAAAAAAAAAAAAAAAAGGAAGTGGGATTTTCCCTAAGGCTGCGCTTAGCAGAGGCCAGGAGTCTAGGTTCCATGTGTCAGTTCTGAAGAATGAGATCACCCTTCAGGGAGCTCTTACATCACCTCTTGTGAGCTTCATAGAGAAAAGAAATTTTATTTCCAGACTTCATTCTTTTTTACGCAGACTGCAATATTCTTTTCAGGGACAAATGTTTAAAGCCAGGTTTTAGTTGGTTTATTTGTTTGCTTTGGCAATCATCTGGGGGGTTTTCTTCTCATTTTCCTTAGCCTACCCCTAGCTGAGCTTTCTACTCTGTTTTGATCTTAGGTCTCTGCCTCCTTTCCCCCCTTCCCAGCTCCCAAACCCCGGGTGACAAGACAGCTTTGGGGGGGAGGGGGTGTGCCAATATTTCTGTCCCCTCAGTTGGGAGATGGCTCCCTTTCTTTTTCTTTGAACGTTGTCTTTTGTGATCTCCCCTTGAATACATCTGGTGTTTCAGCCTAAAACATCTGTCAGGCTATAATTGGTGACTAGTGAAGCTAAAGGTTCTGAAATATTGTCCTTGCTATAATTCCAGGAAACTCATAATTTAAGCAGTGGGCTTAAAAAAATCATGTCACCTATGGCGACTAGAGGGACTTGTTAGAGATAGAGTGAATCTAGGGATTCCCCAACTGACACTGAGGTGAGCTTGTCTGAAAATAAGGTCAATTCATTCAGTGGTTTGAGGAGAAGAGGATTAATTATGGCTTTATGGCTTTTAATTTCACTTTTCCTTAGGGATAGGCATCAGCATGACTCTGTTAAATTGGGCACTTATTGATATGTTAGAGAAAGCAAAATGTAAGGAGTGTCATAATTCCAGTCATCTTCTCAAGCTTTTTTTTTTTTTTTTTTTTTTTGAGAGGGAGAGATTGAGAGAGAGGATGGGTGGAGGGAGAGGGAGAGAGAATCTTAAGCAGGCTCCATACTGAGCGCAGAGCCTGATGTGGGGCTTGACCTCACGACCCCGAGATCATGACCTGAGCTGAAATAAAGAGTCAGAGGCTTAACTGACTGAAACACCCAGGCACCCCATCTTCTCCAGCTTTAAGTGCCTTTGGAATCCTGTATTGCTGAGAGATGGAGTTTTGCTTTACTTATCTCTGACCTAGGAACCTGATTGGTCAGGATGTGCTTTCAAAGGGGGTGTGACTTTTTCAGAACAAGCACTTTTAAAATGTGCAGCCCTAGTTCTGCTTTTCTGTTGCCCAGAGGCAGCAAAGTGGTGATGGGAGAGGATTTTATAGGAACTTGGTGGCATGGTTGGTCATCTCTAGGGAAATTCCTTAAAGTTGTAGCATGCACATTTTTTATGAGTGGCTCGAGTGGAAAATGAAAAGCCCTACAGGCTTTCTTCCCAGTGCTTCTCAGGATTAGAATGAGCACATCATTTATGTTCTGAGAGCTATGCTTAGAAGGTAACCAAGGTTTCTCTCTTTGACTTTCTTTTCTTTTCCTTTTTTTTTTTTGGCTCCTGACTTCCTTTAATTGGGGCCTAACTATCCCAGAACCTCAGCTGTCTGGATCTCTCTCTTTCTCTCTCTCTCTCCCTCCTCTTCCCTCCTTCTCCCTTCCTTCCTCCCCCTCCCTCCCTCCGTCTCTCTCTCAGCAACTCAGCAAGTCACAACAAAATCAGTTCATTTTAGGAACTGGAGTAGAAGAAAAAACCCAGTGTGGGTTGTTGGGATTGTTCTAAAGTCTTCCATCTGCCAGATTGCCCTGTGACACCACCCCCCGCCCCCCAACACTGAAGTTCAGTCTCTGCATGACTTCCCCACTTTCTCCCTCCCATATAAATGTTGGGCAGGGAAATGCTGGATCACCTGGTATGTATTATTAGATCCTTTTCGACATACCTTATTTTAACTCATAATGATAACTCAAGAATCTGTATGTCAGTCACCAAAAATCAAGAAAATGTGGAATACTTAAGAAAATTAAGATTACATATAACATGACTTCAAGAGATTACTAGGATTTTTTTTTTCTGGTTTATGCACTTTCAGACTTTTAAGATATCTACATACAGATATAAATGTCAACATTTCTTGGAAAGATGGAACCTCAATATATTTATTTTGTAACTTAAAAAAAATTAACAATATGCATAGACATCTTTAGGCCAATACAAAGTTGCCAGTAGGGTTACAATGAACATTTTTGTAGCCATTGTTCTGACTGGTGCTTGTTCTAAAAAACTCACACCCCCTTTGAAAACATACTTGGAGGTTCACAAAGTTTTAGACATTTGTGGCATAAATCCATAGAAGGTTGATTCCTAAATCACAGTTACTCTCCTAGATACTGAGTCCAAGTGCCCTTCAGAAATTTTCATTTCCATCAATAGAGTTTTGTTGTCATTATTGATAAATAAAACTTAAGATAGATTTTCATCAATCTTGCTGTTAGTACATTTTTATTGTTAAATGTTTGCTGTCCTGTTCAGATCCTCAAGCCTGTTATTACACTGGATTGTCTTTTTCTTACTAATAACTCAGAGCTCTCTACAGATAATAGGTCGTAAGCTTTTCTGCCTGTTTAAATATATTACAGACCTTTTCCCCCATTCTGTCTTTCAACTCCTCAAAATTGTAGATATTTGTATTAAGATCTGTCAGTCTTTTTCATTGGCTTCTAAATTTTGTCATCCTTAGAAAGACATGTCAAATTTGGGGCCCCTGGGTGGCTCAGTCGTTAAGTGCCTGCCTTCAGCTCAGGTTATGACCCCGGGTCCTGGGATCGAGCCCCGCATCGG